ATTTATTTTGATCTTTGTTATGGCAACTGAGGCTTTGTCCTTAATGATACTGGAAAGAATAAGCATATGCTAAGGAAAAAGAAGTAAAGACATTAACATAAACTCTTCTTTTAAGAAGCCAAAAGGAAAAGGAGAGTGAGAAAGAACAATAGTTTCCATAGGAAAGGGACTCAAAAGAGGTGTTTGAGTTTTTAAAAAAATCAATAATTTTATCATTCTTACCATTTTTAAAGTCTATCATCTCCTCTCCTTATTCATAGCATAGTTTTAATTTTGCAGAAGTAATTTAAATTTTATTGCTTGGGAAATAAGCAGTTTTATTTTTCATGATGATGATAATTTGGTTTATAAGTTAGCTCTTTGGGACATTTACTGTTTATGGATTTGTACAAAGCTGCCTTCAAATGTGACTTGGGGAAATTCAAAGTTTTGCCAGTCAACCAGAGGGTGATTTGTATTATTAAAGGGGTCCCTTGAAATATGAAGCTTCTGAGCAGTTAAGTGTACACAAACCATTTAACCACATAAGAGAGGGCCAGGGAAGAGAAAGTTAAGTTGTGAGAAGTTACTGTAATGATCATGTTTGCATGTCAGCAGAAAAGCAGATTTCAATAAATAAAAATGTTAGTTCATGGAATTTTTTCCAGGAAAACTTGCTCATCTGAAGAGAAGAATTCCTACATCGTCTACACTGCAATCAATTGCCCCTTTGTGGGCTGAGTGATGGTCTCTAAGTCCCCAGCTCCTGCTCCTAAAGTGACCTGAGGAACATGGAGCTCTGAGAACAGCTTTTGGGGTAACCCCACAGCAGCTCTGAACCATCTGCTGCCAAGGGAATGGCAGTTACATAATTAACCATAATAGCTGCAAATGATATAGTTACAACAAAAACCCTGTTGGTATTTAGCTGAACTAAAAAAAAAAAAAACCAACACAAAACAATGGTGTAAATTATAGCAATGTGTATTATAAAATTTCTTATTTGCATTTCACATAAAATTCACCAAGCTCCTTATTCACTCATTACTCACCCATTATGGGTTTTTTAAATGGCACTTTGAAAGTTTGCTTTGGCTCGGGGTGAATTATTTGCAAAGACTTTATTCCTGGAGTCATGACTCCTTGGGGACTTCTTTACCTTTTGGCAAATTCATAGCTCATTTTGTGGGTGGTAGTGGTTTGTGGCCGCTATGTATGCATGTGTGGTCATATGAGGGGAGTAGTCTTAGGATATCCTAAATAGTGGAATATTTCATAAGGAAGGGTCCTATATCCCAGAGTAATTAAACAGAAAAAAGAAAAAGTAGAAAATGAGTAAAGCATAGTAATAAACGTAGCAGCAAAAATTAGTTTGGTTCCTTCTAATTATGCGTGTGCTTGAATAATCTGCTGACTTAATAGGTGGAAGAGATGTGCATTACAAATATTCATGGAATGTTTGCATATCAAGAGGCACAAAAGAGCATGAGAAGGTACAATTGAGGCAAAGCTGTTTTTGAGAATAAAAATTGCGATGAACATTAATAAGCCAGAGGCGTAATGTTGGATACAGATGAGCAAAGTATTTTTTTTTTTTTTTTGCATGTACACTTCCATAAAAAAATGTGGTCGTTAGGGCCAACATCAGTATGTTAGGGGAAGAACTGGGGCATAAGACAAGGTAGCTGTAGATATTCACTAATCCCAAGAGGGCAATGAAAATTCTTCCTCCCCAGACCTCCTGACTCACTGCAAGACATTGGCTTGAAATAGCTTCCAATGGAGTCCTTGATGAGCTCAAGACTAAAGGTAGAGAGTAATTCCGAAATGAAACATAGTTTTTGGAATAGTAGGAAACTAGTTTCTAGATTTATAGAGATTTCAAGCTAGAAGATTTCAAGCTTCTCCCAACCTATACACTTTACAGATGTGATATGTCATTGGGTCCCCCAAGAAATAATAAGTGACTGGCCAAATATTGTGTAGCAAAATAATGGCGTTAGAATGCTGGTTCCTAACTCTCTATCAAGAGGTCTTTTTCACACCACTGAGGGCACACTGCCTGCACTCATAAGGGGAGGGGAAAGGGCCTGGTACATTTCCCTGGAGGATGAGTTCTGAGACTAGGAGCTGCATGAGAACTGGGCGGTGACAGAAAGGAGACCTAGGGGTGGTGCATTATGTATTTGTGCCCGGACACAGATGTTTCCTATCTTGCCTAATATTGGCTTAAATGACAAGGGAAGCTAAATGCCATCAATATACCATCATAAAGTAGCTTTCTCTTTTCCTGGGTATAGTTAATCTGCAGGTAAACCATATTGCTCACAAGGCACAAGAACAATGGGAGCTTTTATAGTCATTTGTGTGTTCAGAGGTTGTTCTGGGTCTCACAGTGGACAGTTGTTACCCTGACATGGAGCCGCATCAATGCAATTGTGCATCAGGCTAACGAATGTGTTTTCATGGAAACCATACTAAGCAGAGCAAGAAGTAAAGAAACTCCACTACCTAAGATTGACCTCAAGTGGCTCAAGGTAGTTTCAATACTTACATTCTATTTAGGAGTGATTCTGTCCCTTTAAAAACACTATTATTGATCCTTCATTTTCCCCAATATCTGGAGTTTTAGTTGGGCTTCAAATATATCTAAAAATCAAGTGGGTGCAATTTCTCCTGATGCTATCCGAACCAGTTTTTTTCCCTCATACAAGCCATGAAGTTTTCATTTGAATTTTGTTTCTGAGGATGACTTTGGACTATGTTATATTACCTCGTGACATTTAGTATTGTTGGGATTTATTGGATTTCTGGGAATTGTATAATAAAAAATGATAATATCAAACATCATTAATTAGGTGTCAAACAAAGTACTATTGTTTCTTACTTTAATTACAATAGAATTCAAGTTAATTTGCTTATTTTATCAGAGCAATATGGGATTCCAACCTTTTAAAATCTAAAATCTTTAGCAGACAGAGGACAATTATAAAAAAATCCCCACTTCACAAGAAGATATTAATCAATTTGTTGAAATGGCTGAGCACTAATAAACATAACATGCTAACATCTCTTAGCAAATAGATTTTTGTAAACAAGCTGCTTTCAAAAATATTTTATGAGGCATCGTTAACATTCAGAGATGCTGCTGTTTAGGTTGGAAACCTCGGTGATCCATCTCGCACAGCGCGGCTGGAATGGAGAGACCCCTCAGTGAGAAGAACTGGAGAGGGGCCTGTAAAGTCATGACCCTTGGAAGGTGTTGGTTTACAGAGTGTGAGGTGGGCAATTCACCAGCTGCACCCAGGAAGCAGTGCTACAAATGCCTATGGCGAGGAGTCAGAGGACACATCATTTTAAAGGACACCAACCATCACCCCTGCAGACCCACAATTTATCTGGTCTAACCTCAGTGACGGGGAAAAGGAACTTCTTAAGTTAGAACACACTTGCCTATTTTGACTGAAGATTATTACAATGAAAAGCAATCAATTACCCTCTCAGTTGTTTTTGGTTTTTGGACCACTTTAGGGCTCCCATCTCAAGGACAAATTTAGTAAGGACTATACTCCACATTTGAGGTAGGAAATCTTAAGCAAAGGCCACACATTCGGAGCTCACTGCTGGTCTCCTGGCTGTCAGGTGTGGACGTGGGGAGGGAGAGGAGCTTGGTGCTACCACTTTCCTATGAAGCTCACAAAAGAGGATTTATTCCTTGGAAGCTAAAAGGGTTAAATAAGCAGCTGCAGGGCAAGAGCAAATGAGGTGGATGTCAAGGTTTTTAGAATTTTTTTTCATGTTATTATCAATGATCTTTTTCTTTAAAATGTCACTTAACTATTTCTCTGCTTCCGCTTCTCCATATAATGGATGTACTAATGTTAATTCCCATGTTCCCAAAGAGGTAATGGTGGAAAGATATGTTGATAAACATTTTTAAAGCTCTCTGACTTCCTTAGAAAGAAAGCAGGCTTTTGAAAAAAGAACACATTTAGATACTCTCAGCAATACTGGGTCAAAAAATCTCTAACTTTTGATCACTTTTAAAAATAGCTTTTTAAGGTGAAATATATCAGTGTATTGTGTGTGTGTATAGATATACTATACATATGCCTTTTCTCTGATTACAAAGTAAAGAAAAAAAGTACTGATCTTAGAAATTTTAGATCTCAATTTTAGTGAGATATAGATGCTTTGATTAAATAAATCATTTCCCTTAATTTGTAGAAAATTTTTTTTTGTTTCCTTCCACTCTACTTTGAGTGACACTCTTATGCATCTGTTCTGCAGGGGTAGTAGCAAGACCTGTTTGAAGTTTAAATCTGTGACACCTCTGTAGAACAGTGGCAACCTGATCAAAACAGTGGTCAAGCAGAAATGCTCTCTTTCTACGAATGCACACACACACACACACACACACACACACACACACACACACCTCCCTGCATTCAGAGCCGAGGTTTTCCTTCTACCCTCAACTAATAAAACCAGGAGGCTGCAATGAGGCCTAGCGGCAGGCAGTTTGATGTCCTCAGCAGGATACGGGGAGTCAGAAGTGGCGCTGTAAATCCAGAGCGGGGCTTCAACACTGTGTTAAGTGTGGCCTGAGTCTCGGAGATTTCCCTTTGATGCAAGTTCAGTATATTAATGGGAAAAGCATTCACTTTTATTTGTCTGTACTGTCTGCGACAGCAAGGCTGCCTCATTTAGCCCGGGCCAACATGAAAATACACAGAGAAGCAATCTGTTGCAAATTAGCACAGCTCCCCTTTCATTTACTAGCTAGTAATTGGAAGGGGTTAAGAAAGTGTAACTTATCAGACCACGTGAGGGTATCTGCTTGTGTGGACAGCAAGCCTCCCCCGAATTGCCCTAGGAGCCCCGAGGCAATAATCCTTCCCCATGGCCACTCGGCCTGAAAGACAGCACTGACGTGTGTGAAATGTGTGCGTGTTGCTAGGCCTGAGAAGGCAGTTTTCTGGACTCCCAAAGGGGGTATTTGTGACTTTGTCGGAACTTACCTTTCTTTAGATATGTTTTTACTCTCTCGTTTCCAAATCGTCTTGAAGTCACTGCAGAACTCGTACCACACCATAAACACGTAGTTTGGAGTGATCTCCTTCTCACCAGACTTTGGCTTCATCCCAAAATATCCCACTGTCGTTTCAAAACTGCAACAGGCAGGAGGGGAAAACAGAGTGAGGGAGAGGGTGAGAAACTGTCAACACCAGTAGGGTGATAGAGGAATACGGGGGGCGGTTTCCTGCTTCTCCACTCTCTGTCTCCATTACCCGTTTGCTCAAATCCATTTTCTAAGAAATTCAATTTGACTGGGGATACTCCTAGATATATCTCATCCATGTAAAATCCAGTGTGTGTGTAAGTCGAGGGGGTATACAGGTAAAGCTTCTTGAGTTTGTTCTTCATCTCCAATCTATGTCATGTACCTGTTCTTCACTTGAAGTTTAATGATGACGGGGAACACTGCTGGCATATTGGCTCTGTGGAATTAAGCGGTGGTCAGTTAGAGAGCCCAGTGGGAATAATTAATCGGTTGAGTGTTTCATGGAAAATCAAGACTGTTCTCTCCTATTCTGGCACCTTCTGGCGTTGTAACCTGAGGCCAATCACTCAGCATCAGACTCAATTTTCTCAAGGGTAAAGTAAGAGACTGAGCCCCTATAATCTTTAAGAAGGCTACAGTTTTAAAGCTTTATATGATACGAGAATACAGACCACCAAATGCACAAAGGTATAAGTACAGTTGAGGGCATAGCAAGATTTGGATGGAAAATCATCTTTGATCTTAATAAATGACCTCCAACCTGGTCCAGGTTTTGCAAAGTAGATTCCCAGAGATCACTGAGAGCCTCCTGATCTACCCCATGGACTCTCACACCAGACTAGCCAGGCCTCCCAAGCAGCCCTTCTTGGAGGCACTAGCTTGGCAGCAATTTATAGCTCTGCACTCAATCTTTCTACCCAGCCACCCCCACCCACCCCAAGCCTCACAAGCTCATTTGCCATGAGCAAGAACACTTAAATAAATGGCTCCTTTTTCTAGGGTGTTGGAAACTAATCAAAGCAGGAATGGCTGGCCAGGTTTATTACTACTCAATGCTCTATCATCTGTTCAGACACAGCATTTTTTTTTTTTTTTTTTTTTTTTGTGGCCATCCTGAATACTGAGTTCCTAATGGAACTCTATTCAATGGCAATTGTAAAACCCCGAAGCCCCATTACTATTACAGAGCATACTTTCATCTCGTTCTCAGTTATTGGCCAATATGTATCTCATAAGATTTTACCACAGTTCACAGATGAACTGTTAATTGATTCCATGGCTATGATTAGGCGAGATCCAAGCTGGGGCTGCAGCTCTGAGTCCCATAAATTCTTTGTGCTTCTGTAAATAATAAATCTGTTTTTAATGCAAATTAAACTACTGGTCAGGGAATTTTGGCTCCCAGTTATTAAAAGACTGGGAGTGTATAAGTGGAGAAAGGCAACAACTGCAGTAATTTCTTAAGGGACTCTCTTATAATACCGAACATGCATATTTTGGCGCAAAACCAGCAATGGAAGAAAGTACCAATGTCCACTTTTACCAGGCGGGACCCATTTTGTGGCAAGAAGAATTCTGATAACACCAAAGCACACTCTATGGCATGTAATTCTATTTCATTCAAACTGAAAATTATATTAATGCAGCATGGAATGCATTGTAGAGAGTTTTGGGAACTATAGGATCTGGCCATGGTTTTCTTACAGAGTGCTGGGGCTTTTGAATCAGAAGAGAAATTACATGTCAACTTGTCCAATATTCTCATTTTACAGACGAGAAAACAAAGACATGGAGAGACTGATTGTCCCTTTTTATTGGCAGCGTTGGGCTGATCTTGGGCCTCCTGATTCTCAGGGAAATGCTTTGTCCTTCCTCCCTCCCTGTGGCTCATGCTTGCTGACCTGGGCATTCAAGAAATACCACAGTTTCCCCCCCATTTTCCCTTTAGACACAGTTGCCCCTGTATCTTTCATAACGTGTGTTACCCCCAGCAAAGGACATCATTATTTTCTTCTCTTCCAAGATGCTAACCTTCTATACAGAAACATATTTCTTTGTGCATTCATAGAGTGGAGAAAGTCTTCCAAGGTGAGTCTTTAGGGGAACAAACGGTCTTCCTACAGCCCAGCAGGACCCAGTGAAGAGCACAGAGCCCCAGTCCGGGCTCCTGGGATCTCCCCGCACCTCGAGCGTTATTGGGAGTCTCGAATGCAGGACCAAGGCATTGCACACACTGGTGCAGTTGCAGAGAATGGCAGCTCTGTTTGGGGGCTATCGCAGAGCTTGAAGAAAGCATACTGTCATCCTGAGGCCTCGCTTTCCCCGACTGAACTGAAGCTAACCGTGTACCTCCCTCTCTCCCCTGGGAGCTCTGAGGTCCTGCTTACTCACCCTCAGAGGGGGCAAAAATAAAGGAAAGGGAGAACTTGAGCATTTCCCCACGATGCGCTTTGGGAACTAAGAAGGCAAGCGAGCCTCTTAAAAGAACCGAAGTAAACAGAGTCTCAGGGGATGGCCTGGCCTCGGCACCGCAGCCGTGATGGAGAGCAGCTGATCCGAGGTGCGCCTTGTTTGGATCCCGTGTTCTCCCTTTGCCCAAAGAACAGCTAAAAGCCCATCTATGAACCTACAACTACCTGATAGTCTAGACTACTGTCCTCCCAAACAAAACTCTTCCTTTCAAATTCAATTTTGACTCACAGAAGATTGATGATTGCAAACCTTCTGCCATTTGGGCATGAAAATTATCAATCCCAAGCAGCCAGGAGAATTTTCTCCAACAAAGGGGCAATCATGCTTTCTGGAATGTTTATTTGCCAGCAGATGACTCTAAATTAGCTTTCGACTTTTAAAAAGTGGATGGATTTCTGATCATGTTTCACATAACTTCTTGACTTCACTCTAAACTCTTCCCTGACTCCTTTTCTCCCTGCTTCCATTCCTTGTCTGAGCTGAATCCTTACAATTCAGCTAAACGTTTTTAGAGTGCAGACAGTCATTCTACCAAAGAGCGCGTGGCCAACTGAACGGTTTTCCTTTTGCAGCGTTGAGAGGCCAGAGCGGAACACATCCCCTTACTGTTTCACATGCGTGCCTTCAGAAACTGCTTAGGAAGAGCAAATATTCCTTCGCCTCAGAGTAAATTGTTTCTCTTGAGAATAAAACATAAGAATTTCCTAAATCTCACACGAATATTGCAACACTGACCACCAACCTCCTTAAAGAGGGTAACCAAACAACTGTGGTTTCTACATTAAAGATGGGATCGGATATATTTCATGTATGACATGAAAGCTAGACTACCTTCACCACAAAGTCATGGAAAACGCTGACAGCCAGAATTTATGGTCCCCCTCAGCATGGCTAATACGTAGCAGCAGCTTTGGCTCCTCGAAGGTGGGCCCCCTGCTCCTGACGCAAGAATCCTGAAGAAGTATTAGAAGTGACATCCACCCCAGAAGCTGAATTTCTGTTTGGCCTAATACTTATGTGCCCTCATTGAGAGTTTCCTTTATGCATGCTGGTTATTTCTGTCTCACAGACGTAGTACTTGGACACATGGAGGATGGGAAGCTTCCTGTAGGGATAAGGCCAATAAAGGGCACAGAAATCCACACATTCACACAACCAGGTGACTGTCTTCATTGTCAAAGATTATCATGTGAAGATGAAGCCACGATTCAAGAACATGTCTGCACTTAGGAAAATGCAGGGTTTACATTAACCTCGCTCTCATCTGCATTTTAATTTAATTAACGAATACAGCGGAGAGCAGGGCAGGATGTGGGACTTGTCAAAGCAGAGCAGACGGCATGGTCCCGTCTTTCAGAGCCCCCAGGAAGAAAAGGGCTCATTTGTAAAGTTTGTTCATTTGCATTTAGCGAACTCTCCTCACGTATTTGTAAAGCCCGTTTTTCTGTATGTGCCTCTTCCTGCTCTTATTTAATTTTCTAGTACTTTTAGAATTATACCAGTAACATTTATCAGTTTTCTGCGCTGGATATGAGAATGCCTCAGTATATTCCCATTCCTCCTCTAAGAGGGAGGGATAGCCACACTAAGCTGGTCAACTGATAAAAAGAGAACCCCTCTGGGGCCCACAGCTGATGATTACTGGCCTCTCCCACTCTGATGGCCATTGAGAGAGGGAAGTAGGGAAGAGCTTGACTAGGAGACCTCCTGGGAGTTTTCCCTATAGAGGTCATTCCCCTCCTCCCCACAATGTCCTCTAGGCTCTGAGGAAAGACACAGTAAATCTCTTAGGTGGTTGGATCTAGTTGTAACACTAAGAAGGACCACGTTGTTCCTGACTCCCAGGCAGTGGTTCAGGAGCAGAGTGATGGAGGAGAGGCAAAGAGATGGAAATAGCGTCATGACATGAGGCAGGTGAGTCATTTCCAAATGATCTCCTGCTTTTTAAAAAATCTCCTGCTTCTTGAGGAAGAATATTCCCAAGTCCTGTCACAGTGCTTTCACTCCCGCTCTCCACAGACTGTTATTGTTCATGGAGGCATAGTTTTAACAAATGGGGCCAAAAAATGGTCAGACATTATTCGAATAAAACAAACCAGTCACAAAAGGAAAGGTACTGTCTGAGTCCACTTACAGGAGGTCACTAGAGCAGTGTCAAAATCACAGAGACAGATATTAGAATGGTGGTTGCTAAGGGCTGGGGGAAGGAAATGGGGGAGTTAAGAGTTTAATGGGTCCAGAGTTGCCTTTGAAGGAAATGAAAATTTCAGAATATACATGGTGCTTATGGTTGCACAGCAATGTGGAATGTACTTAATGATAATTAATACTAATAATAAAATGGCTAGTCAAAGAAAGGGCTGGGGCCAAGTTAGAACTGCTTACCTTTTCTGTGCATTCTCCAAGTGACTTTCTTCCATTTTATGCTCTTTTTTGGCTGTGAAAGAGAAATAATTATGATTAAAATAGTATTTTCTTCCATCATATTTTTTGTATAATATTCTAACTTTGATTATACTCATTCATTATGGAAATAAGCCCAAATTCAGGGGTTGGCAGCTCCTACCATGCATAGCGGAAAAGGCACTCAGTTTACTATATTTATCACCACTGTGTTCTTTTTCTTAAAATCTTCAATTGAGGATGTGCTTAGAGAGAGAGAGAGAAAGAGAGAGAGAGAGAGAGAGAGAGAGAGAGAGAGAGAGAGAGAGAGGTGAGAGAGAAACACTGATTGGTTGCCAGCCCAGGCATATGGCCTGAGGACCGGAAACCTTTTGGTGCATGGGACGGGGACAACACTCATCATGCTCAACCAACTGAGGCATTCTGGCTAGACAGCATTGCTTTCTTGATAACAGGTGTAGCTAGCAGCATGGGGTGGGGGCATTTAATTTATGTTTTTACTGGGACACTTGTGAGAGTGAAAGAAGGTGACAGTAATAATTGCCCCTGGACAAAGCATACATTGGTACAATCCTGGCCAGGATGGAACATGTGGTCACCTGGCTATGGTTGGCCTCTTTGTGAGCCTTAGCCTGTGCTCAGCACTTCCCCTTCTTTCCCAAACATTATATTATAGTTGTATACTATATTCTCTAAGTCCAGTACATTTTAGCTAACAAAAATAATTTCTTTTTATATTGACACTAGAGACTCGGTGCATAAAAATCATGCATTCAGGGAGGAGGCGTGTCTCTCAGCCTGGCCTGTGCCCTCTCGCAGTCCAGGACCTGATTGATGGCTTAGGTCCGCTCCCACAGCTGCGCTCGCCAGCTGTGAGCCCGGCTTCTGGATGAGTGGTGCTCCCCCTGTGGGAGCACACTGACCACCAAGGGGCAGCTCCTACATTGAGTGTCTGCACCATGGTCGTCAGTTCGCATCATAGTGACCGGTGATTCCGCCATTTGGTCAATTTATTCTGCACATTAGCCTTTTATTACATAGGATTATTTGGCTTTGATAGCTATACCATTTTAGATAAAGCCATAGTTAGGGGGAGCTATTGTGATATAATTTCCCCCCACTCTCCCAGCAGCAAACTTAGCCAGATACAGAGAAGTTACCTATGTCTTTCATAAGTGACACCAAGTTCCCCCAAATGTGAAACAACCTAGTAGTTTGTTCTTATCCAGTGGTTCTTAATTATGTGCCTGGTCAAACAAGAGGAAAATTCTTCCAAGGCCTAAGTGGTCTTCCTGGACACCTTTGCTGTTCTCCATCACCAATGGTCTCTAGCTGGATGCTCTCATGCTGTGTTAAGTAGACTATGGTCAAGCCATCATTGCATATATACAGAGTGACAAGAAATACGCTCCCCAAACTGAATTAAGCTTTAGATAAGCACTGGTAATGGCTCTATGAATATGGTTATCTGGGGGGGAAATGGCATCCAAATACAAAAAGAGGTATTCCTAAGAGGCAATGCATATAGTACAACCTCTGAGGGTTTTGGGGAAAAGAGCCCTCAGAAAAATGGTAAAAATCTAGAAATCTCAATTTTTCCCAAGCAAAAGGTCTATGCACAGAAAGAAATGGTAGCCCCAGTCCATGGTGTGACCTGGAAGGTCTCCCAGCCTAAAATACTTCTCCTGCCACAATGTGTGTATGACATTCCTAACCAGGTTATTATCCATTTTAAAGTCTTCAGACAGAACAAAAAGATATTATCTGTAAGGAAAATATTTAAATACTGGAGTCACATACACAAATTCTAACATCTTCAACAAACAGGGCAACCACAGGCCAGGTGCAATATGCTGATATTCTAAAACTTGACCTTTAGCTTCTCAATATTGGTACTGATACAATTTCAGTCTAGGGAAGCCAGAGGGAGTGGTAAGGACATGGGAAGGCTACACTCCATTCAAGGGAGGAAAGGCACCTGGCAGTGTTACCAGATTTCTATCTTTTTCACAGAAGCTAAGATTTTTAAATGGATGTTCTCAACTTAGGAAAAAATGTTTCAAGCACTCAGCAGGACAAAGAGTACATTCCTGTTGGCCATATCTCACCCTGTAAGCTCTCACTTAAGCCTTTAGTAGCTTGATATATGGCATAGGTGGGCGTGTGCTTTCTTCTGTGTGCCAGATGGGTGCATGGAATCCCCCACTGAAAAAAGGCAGACAAGGTCCCTAGAGATCTTTTTTCCTGGCAACGGTCCCTAGAGAACTTGCTTTCTGGCTGGGGAAGGTAGACAATTAAACCCAAGAGAATAAGATCAGGTGTGAGCAATTTTTGATAAAGGGTAGCAAAAAAACCCCAAAACAAAACAAAAGAAAAAAATCATTAGAGCACAAATTGTTGCCTATAAAAGGAGACTCTATGTGGGTTACTGCATTAAGGAGCACCTGGGCAGCAAGAGCATGCAACAAAGGTATTGGGTACAAAAAAGGGACAGTGTTTAATTGAAGATAATAAGTCTTAGATAAAAACTGTCCTAACCTACAACTTTGGCTAGCAGTGGCCCTGATCTCTGTGTGGGATTTACCTAGACTTCTATTCTACATAGTCACCTGGATAGTAGTATTTAGGTGCTTCTTTTACAGTTTAAACTTGGCACTATTTGTGTGGTCTGCGGGAGGGCAGACTTATTAGAAGTTTGGAGAAGTTGTCAGATACTGTCACTCACTGCACCAGGGGAGACAGAAATAACATGTATCCCCAACCTTGCTCTTCTTTCTCCTTTTTACTTTCACAAAAAGATGTCTCATTGTCTGCAATGAGTTAAATATAATTGCTTTCCAGTTGGGGTACTTAAGAAGCTACTTAGAATGCAGATAGTCTCAAAGTTTAAGACAATAAAGAAACAGAGAAAAAAGTCAGAGTACAGAGTACTGAAAATGAGAACTTTTGCATAACATCAATTTTGTCTTCCGAACTCCTTTATGAAACCTACATATATATACTGTGGTGATGTGAATGTTTGGAAGTGCTCAGAGAACACTGGGTGGCAAGTTTGCATGATGACCTACCTACAGCATACATGTTCTGTCATTGGTAGAACTATGTTGCTTTTCTTCCACTTTCATTTCCTCCAATAAAGAACATCTATTATTTTTCATAATTCCATGTCACAGAGAGAAAGCAACATGGCTTCTTTAGAAGGTTTGTTTGTTTGTTTGTTTAAGAAACATCAATGTGGGTTTTATTTAATGCAGCCTTTACTGAACAAAGAACACTTGCTTTTGCATAAATCTTCAGTGCCTTGGAACTTGGTTTCCTGATTAATTTCATAGCCATTGTCTCATTAGTGATTATAAAATTTCTCCATAAAAACAATTCTGAAATTCATAAGGACTGTGGCCTACCAAGTGAAGCAGTAAAGGCCCTTTTTATTCAATGGTTATAGGCCCAAGGAATGCAATCCAGAACTCAAGAGAGCTAAATGTCAAGTTTTAAGCCCAGCTCCACTGTTCAAGTGTCATGGACAAGTTGCATGTATATCCCCTGTTCCAGTTACTCTGCTCCAAAATGAAGATGTTAATTTCTACCTCCCACATAGTTATGAGAGCCAGACACAAAGGGAACAGTGCTCAGCTGCATGAGAATCTCTGCAGTCAGATCTCTGATGGATCCATCTCACGCTGAGGCTAAGAGTGGGTTCAAGCTTCTAGTTGGACGGCTGATTTGACGGAGTTAAATGAGGTATAGGCTAGTGGGAACAGCGTGAGCTTTGCATCAGGTGGACACGGGCTGAATTTCTGCTCTGCCATTTATTAACTGAAAGACCTTGGGGAAGTCACTTAATCCCATTGCGTCTTAACCATAAAACGAGTAATAAGATGTACCTTGCAAGATGGTTGTGACTATTGGATGTGCTGAGCATGAGAGGTTAATGTAGTGAATAACATGCTAGGCCCTCAAAATCAGCAGCCATTGATTACTGATTGACTGGTAGCAAATGCTAGGAATCACTATTCTGGCTCTCTGTCTTTGGTATGGATAATACAATAATTCAAGCATAATGCTCTGTTCTTTCTTAAGAATGTCCACAGCCACACTCAGTGGACAATAATTTTGCTAGTGATAAGTTTCAAGTTAGACTAGGTGTCCTCTGCTTAAAATCTCAGTTTTCCTTTTTACTTACAAAGCCAGTGTCCCTACCATGGCTGCTAAGGCTTTTCCACAGAAGCGTGTTCCCTGTCCCATCCCATCTTGTTTTATTTAATCCCCAGGAGTGAAAGAGAGTAACCAATTTATAATTGGGGGGGGGGGCAGGCGGGGAGTGTAGGCATGAGTGGACAGGCACTTATGATTATTCTCATCTAATTCTTTTTCCCACTTAATGACCATTGAGTTTTACAATCTCAGATCTGATTTAATCAATCACTTTCTAATATTAAATGAAAGATAATGATGCAGGAGTCTGTTTCTAAAAGGTAAGGAGCAAAGATTCCTCCTTTAAGTTCTAGATTCTATATAGTGACCTACTATAGGTTCCCTGCATGGCACATAAATACAGTTTTCTCTATTGACACTAAACTGTCAACTTAAAAAGGCAAACTGACTGCAATCCTTATCAGAATACCAACGGCATTTTTCACATAACTATTATATAATAATTAATCCTAAAATTTATATATAATATATCCTCATGACCTTCTTTAGCCTATGTCAATATTCTAATTATAATGCTTTATGTTTAGGAATCCTAGTATATCTCTTTTTAAGTAACCTATATTCAACATATACATTTGTTTAAAGAATGGTTTATGATTTTGAGAGAGGAAGGGAAAGAGAGAAGTATCCATGTGAAAGAGGAACATCCATCAGCTGCCTCCTGCACACCCCCTACTGGGGATTGAGCCCACAACCCCGGCATTTGTGCTAACCAAGAATCAAACCAGCAACCTCTTGGTGCACAGAATGATGCCCAACCAACTGGGCCACACCAACCAGGGTCAATATACACATTTTTCAGCTAAAATAAGTGATTTA